AAAGAGAATACAATTAAATACAAACAAACACACGAGCCATACCTATATTCCGAAATAAATAAGCACAAAAGCACGAGGCCAAACAATCAGTAAGCAAATCGAAGCAAAAGACGAAAAACAAAGGAGCTTAGAAGGATTGTTAAGACGAGGAACATTTCGTCAACACAAATACCGACATGATAAAGTAAGGAATTATCTTTGGTAAGTCGACGAGCACTCCACACATGCTTATTCAATTCATTTAACATATTCGCGAACTGAGAGGAGTCTGGACGTTTGCGTTGCTTTGTCTTGCTGGTAATCCACTCGTTCGAAAAGGGATATTGGCCAGGAGCAGGTCGAACGAAGAAATATTTCTTCTTCCATTCAGTAATGTAGGAAGAAAGGTCGTCAAGGAAAGTAGTGCCTACTCGACGACCCAGGCAGTGGGCATCTTTACTAAACCTATAACCGTAACAGTAAAGGAAGAACTCGGGCAAAAAAACTACCTAAGACTACGCGGGTAACGACTATAAAGGCCACCATTATTCGAATAGAGTTGGGGGTGAACTGGTTTATTGGTACATCGAAAAGGTTACTTAACGATAGCAACTCAGGTTGAATCGGGAAGCGCAATCCCTACATTATTTGGTCTACAAAAAAGGTATAACAACCCCTGGGAGGATAACGGAAGTCGTCTTCGGGCGTTGGGGCAACCAGGGCCCAATCAGAAGGAAGACCACTGAACTCTCTGAAGCCATCGAATTCGGCTACAGGAGCATAAGAAAACAACATTAGGAACTGTTCCATATTAAGACTCAATTAGGGGAGTTACTACCAGCAAATGAATAAGGCTTGTCCTATATTAAAAGATGTCTAGAAGAACCTAGTAAAGGACACCTCGAGGAATTAAGTCGAGGCGAAAAGATGCAAAAGCTCGAGGAACTTCAGGATCCTCACAAAGTGTGCCCGAAAGCAGCGCCTGATTGTACACATTCCAATCGATACCAAAGGATGAGGCATTGGAGTTAACAGAATCCTCTAGTTCAGTGTTCTGATAACACGAACCAACATCGATTAAGTGGACGGAGTCCGAACCCGAATAGCCATCGATTTCACGGGCCAGAGAACCCGAGACAGGATCAGAAATGGGGTCGAGGTCGGAATCTAAAAAAGAGAGAGAAAATCAGTAGGTATGGGAAGACACGACCGAGATTCGACGATAAAAGGCAAGGACTGACAAGAGGATAAAAAAGGCACAGAAGACGACTCAATAACAGAAAGGAGAGAAGAAATAAGAAAATATTCCCCATATCGATTCGACTTGACAAATGAAGGCCAATTCAGGAAAAGAAAAGAGTCGATCCCTGACTGACCAATGAAAACACTTGAAGAGATGAAAAACCCACAATCGAGGATGTAACAGGAAAATCGCCAGAAAATTCATATAAAATTCCCAGAAAATCAAAGATGTTCTTATTTCCAAACATATTACCCAGAAAAATGAAAGATGTTCTTATTTTAAAACACAATAATAAGTCAAACAAGCAAAAAGAACTTACTCATACTCATGATGGTTGACGGAAAGTCCTGAAAAATCTGAGAGAAGCGTCGGAGAATAGGAAGAACACCGGAAAACTTGGGATGTTGTACTTGCTGAAAGGGTCGAAAATGCAGATAATCAGAGTATGAAAAGTGAAGACGAGAAAAAGGGGAGGAATACTTATAGGAGGGGTAAAAGGACCCTAGCCCTCAGATTAAAGTCATATTCAACGGTTAAGATAGTGCACAGAATACGAAGCGGTGGAGAGAGAAAGTGTCTTATCTTTTGAATTTTGAAATTTGAAAAGATTCAGACTTTATGCAATCAAATCAAAATACAATTGGATAAATGTCACTTTACGAGTCGCAAAAACAAGCAGGTACGACTTAGGACAGTGACATGCGACAAGATATGAGAAAAGACTCGAGGAAGACATTCAGCCGTCAAAACTTACTCTTAAGCTCAGAATCGCTTCGAGTAATTTTTGGGGGGGACTAGATGATATAGCCACACTGACGTACAACGGTCCATATCATTACGGCTCAGAGATTACCAAGTCGACTTGCACAAAGTCGACTCCGCCAATAAGCTTTTCATGATACTCACGGTCAAGAATCCCGGCACTCGTCTAAGTCGACGTACACATGTCGACTAGCATAAGTCGATTTCCCCTAGGACGACGGTCAAACGTATCCGGATCCACTAGCGGTTGAATACGATCCAGTCGACTCGAGTCGATATCTCAAGTCGACTGAAGAGCTCTCGCAGTTCATAAGGTCTTGACAGCTCTGATACACTCCAGCGTATCGAGGGAAAGTTAAGGATAAGAAGGAAGCTAAGAAAGGATCTAGATGCTGACTAGAAAATGGGCAAAATGCGAACCGACCAGGGTATTTTGGACATTTCCAGTAAGTCGGCCGGGGCATTTTGGGGAATTCAGGTAAATGTTTCACTTCTATATAAAGGAACTAAGGTAACCCCAAAACCCTAACCCTCATTCATCCTACATTCTTCTCCATTGTTGCTGCTGCTCTCTCAGAGCAGCTTTCTTCATCTTTTTCACATATTGACTTAAGCGTCGGAGGCTCTATGCCGGAAACCCCTCCGGTGTTGAGTACTTGCAGGTGTTCTTGCGGTTCAACAACGGTTCGGAGGTCATCAAGTCAGATCTAAGCTCATTCATACCGGTTCATCCCAGATCCGGACGATTTCTCATCGGTTCGTTCCAGATATGAGAAGAGACCCATCAACAACATTACAACAGTTACGTCCCGATTTGAGAAAAAAAAAACAATTCAGGCCCCCAAATTGATAGTTTGCCTACCTTTCGGGTGTCGTAAGGGAAAAACTCCTTTTTTTTACCTTTCAAAATAAAAAAAAAAAAATTAGAAACGTGCGTTGTGGGAGATAATTAGTCAACGGTCCGATTTCAATGACCTCTACCATTAGAAATTCGAAATCATGGAGACAAATTCATCCCCATTATTTGAAGACACGAAGACCCCATTCCAGCAACCCACAACCGTTGAGGTGTTGTAGAAGAATCTTCATCGCCCGATTTAACAAAGGCGGATTTATCGATTGTTCGACTACACAGGTAAAAAGGTTTTAGGGTTCCTTTGTACACGATAATAATTGAAGTTCCCTAAACTAGGGTTATCTGATATTGTGCTTGAGGGTTCTCTGATATAATTGGCAATACGACTTGTATTGTAAATTAGGATCTCTGATTTTGGGAATGATGATTTGTCAAATGTTCGAAGGTGAGCGGCTTCTCCGATATTGTAGGCAACTAAAAAAATTATGCGAATGTAGTGTTCTGTTATTGTTGCTAGGGATTCGGCCTTCTCTGATAAATTATGTTGTGTGATTTGGCGAGTTTATGTTTCCACTCGATATCTCTCCGAGTCCATATGTAGTTGTAACTGCAATAGTTGGTAGTGTTCATTCTTTAATTGTGTCTTATTGTCAGATCAGTATGTATTAATAAAGTTGCCATGTATGTATGTCTTGTTGTTGCTCGTCAGTTCCTGGTCATTTCTGTTGAAATTGAATATTTTTATGTTTAATCTTTATATCTGCCTTTTCGTCGAATGAGTCTGTAGATTGTGGTCTGAAAAATATATGTTAATCACATATGCTTCCATGTAATAGGAACATTACATGGCACGATTTCTGTATATTGTGGACTAATATTTCCATGTGCTATTATGTAATAGGCTATACTTCCATGACGTGATTTTTGCATATGGTGTACTGATGAGAAGTTAATGTGAATAGTCTATAATAGCTTTTCATTAATAAATATGCAGTGTAAGAATGTTTTTTCCCCATATATATTTTAATTTCTTTTCTTTTTAGGTTCAAATTGTCTCAAACATCAACCACTCCAAATTTTGGAAGGCCAAGTGCACTCAAGTATGAGGAAAAAATATGTCATCAATGTGGATTCAAGCTTCGCGTTAAGATTGTTGGCTCCCGAAGTTCGAATTATCAGAAATTGTATTACGCTTGTGATAGAGATGGGTTCGTTAGTTGGGGTAATCCAATAATTGAAGACGTAGACTGCATAAGACAAGACGATCCATTTAGAGAGAAAGTTGGAGTGCATCGTCAGAGCAACAAAGATGTTAAAATTAAAAATAAAATTGAAAAAATTTATGATTTATTACTTTTGATGTTGGTACTTGTAATTGTAATGCTTGTTGTTAGTGTAATGAAATAAGTAGAATGGGTATTTATATTAGTTGGACATGAGTGAGTCACTTGTCTTGAAGGAAATTAACGAGCAATTCATGTATTTCTACTGTGAAGTCTATATGATGAAGTGGCATAAGTTTTTTTGAGTATCTATATATTACTGGTAAATCTATTTGGATAAAAAAAATTACTAATGCCTAATGAACAGGGACAAAACTTGAAGATGCCATTATATTATTTGTAAGTGAAAAGCGAGTATGTTATTTATAAGTCAAATAACATGGCTCATTGTCATAAATCCCTAGTTTAATTTTTATGTCAGAAATTTCGTTACACATTTATATTCAATATGCACAAGTTTACAACCTTGAACAAAACATATTCTTTCAACTTTAGGCACACCTCTGTTACATAACAAAAGAAAGTAAAACAAACAAATAGGCAATCCATATATTTCTATTCAAAATAAATACTTCCATACATCATGATGCATTACAATGTCAATCCACAATACATAAATACAACCAAAATGTAGGCAAAATACCAATGAAACAGTAGGTTGCAATGTTATAAATAGGAAGTACATGCTTAAAACTAATACACGTATCAAGCGTGTATATAAGTATATGGAGCGGAACAAAATGGCTAATACGTGCATCGTTCAACATCACGGCTTCACATCCGCATACATAAGTTAAGAACAGTGATGAAGTTCACATTACAAAAAGTCAAAAAGAAGGTTGACGATGATATACACAAATTCGTGTGGGTGTTTTTACTACGATGACCCGCTCAAAATCTGGTACACCATTGAGCTCCTTCCATCATCGTCAAGGCTGAAAAATAGTTCCATCTCGTCAACATTTTTGGATAAGTACCGAGCAACCGTTGTTAAGTTAGGAATTTTTTTTAGTGCATTGTAAACGGCAATTCGTTGCGCTTTTTCATCAACCTGTTGACCGACACGTGTGGAAAGTTCTGAAAGACGGTTGTTCATCTCCTGGCAAACGGAGGACAGTAGCCCGATTATTTTGTCTTCCACCTCAACATTACGCTTTCTTTTCCATAACGCTTAGACTTATCAGATGCACTACTTTCACCTGCTTGAGCCAAAAAAGAGTTAAAGTTATTTTGAGGATAATCAAAATGTTCCGGCCCTGTGTGTTGAGTGGGATTTGGGCTCGGTACTTCGTCATTTGTATCATTTAAGACATCATTAACCGCATCAGTGAAACCTACTGCCCCCTCTCCCGTTGCGCGGTCCTTTCCAAAAATTTCCACCCAATCCGAAAAAAGGGGCCATGGTTTGTAACGCATTGATTTGGCCTTTGGATGAGCCTAAAACAATGAAAAGAAATAAAACAATATAAATGCTTATTTGAACTTACTATTACTAATGCAAATCACGAAATGAAATATGTAAATCAAACCTTGATGTAGTCTTTCCAAACATCCTCTTCCTGCACATTAATCATATTCCCTGTATCACTTCATCCAAAGCCGGAAGTAGCAAGCACATCCGAAAGCAAACCATAATTTTTTTTCCAGACCGAGCTCTTGGATGTTATGTGAGGTTCCGCTCTTATGGTAGTTCCCGGGAACATGTGGTGCATGTGTTGTTCTAATATGATGGCATAACCATTGCGAAATCCATTGTCGCATTTCCAGCCGCGGGCAACAAGATCGCGCAAACCTACAATCAAAGCACGGTCCTCATCTTCATTCCAAACTCGACGTTGCCCGGCGGCCTGTGAATTGGTTCCCCGCTAGCAATAGATTCCATGAGTAACTAATAATCAAAGACATGCACAATAATAAAGTATAATCAACAAATCAGCAACATAAGACAAGATATAAAAAATAGGACTGTCTATTATTTTAAAGCATACAAAGAAGTATAAAAAAAGGAGAATAAATGCAAATCACACATTTCAAACTGGAGGTTTCACATCACATTTCTTTAAACATCAATGTCATATTTTTTTTATAAAGTACAATTAAAAAAAGATGAGTTCCAATTTTGAACATTGCTAGCTTCACTTCAACTTCGCCCATCCCATTCATTAAACATTGAAATAGCCAAAGCATCCCGCATATTTGTCCATTCGTTCGTTGGCTCAACAACGTCTACATAGTCAAAGGGCTCATGGGCTTCGGAGTTTCTCTATCGATTCATCATATTATCACCCTCTTTTTCCATTGGGTCTACATGCATGGTAGCTCGGATGAAGTTTTGAAGGAGACAATAGGCAAGAATAATTTTATTTTGAGTGCGTGTGTCGAAATAAGTCTTGCTCCTAAGGACAGTCCAACGCATCTTCAATACTCCAAAAGCTCGCTCAATTATTTTTCGCGCTCTGGCATGTCTTAAGTTAAACAATTCTTTATGTTTGTAGGCACTCGGTTACCTTCACTAAACTCATCCAAATGATACCGCACACCCCTATACGGAGCCAAGAAACCCGAACCATTTGTGTAGCCACCATAGCTGAGGTAATAGTTCCATGTTGTGTGTATATGGGAACTATATGTCAGATAGTGAAAAATGAAATTAAATAAATATTAGTTTCAGTAATTGTTCTTAACAACAATCTTGCAAAAGAAAGAAAAATTCTATATATATTTACATTACTTTATGTAACACTAACCAGATGGTACACGAAGGCCCCCTCGTCGGTGAACGGCGTCTCGTAAAACCCTACTGTCAGCCGCAGAACCTTCCCAACCAGTCAATACATACGAAAAAATCATTTCTTGCGTGCACACACCAAGCACATTCACAAAAATAGAACTTTTTCTATTTCGATATCGTGGGTGTAGGCGTCCAAGGACACGCACCAGAATATAGGTTCCATCTAAGGCTCCTAAACATCCCTGTGATTTAACAGAAGAAGAACAAATTGTAAACTTTAGTTATGTTAATATAATATTGGTATCATAAAATTGTTTGTATTGTTGTCCTCACCTTAAACCATCTCCATCGCCAATCGGTGCATGACTCGGTTACAGCAGTACTTTGGGCAAGGAGGACGGGGTGCAAACGAAGGACAACACATAGTACATTGTGGAAGAATTTGCTAATTGTTTGACCGGATCTTTTAAAATCAAATTTCACTACATGATTTTTTTTATGGTGAGCTAGGACACTAAGAAACATTGCTACTTGCTCAGTTATGTGTATATTTCTGGTGTTCTGGAGTCCACCAATATGTTCTAACAAAAATCATAACAGGGCAAAGCTATTTCGATCCATGCGAAGTTGTTCAATGCATGTCCTGTCACTTATTTCTACTAATACTTTCATGTGTTCAATTTGAGAGGGTAAACGGTCTGACATACGATATGATGCATTTCCGAGCCGACGTCTAACTCTACGATGTTTTCTAGGTTGAACAACCAACTTAATGTAGAGGTAGGCAATGATCAAAAACAAATTACGTAGATTAATTATCTCTTCGACAAGCAACGGTACTACGGCCTCTTCAGAACTTATGTCCATGCTTAAGCTGATGAGATAAACAAAAATTTGTATTTCTCCATGTAAGAGATGAAGGATAATACTAAAAACACTGCTCTTATGCAATTCAATTATTATTAAAAGCGTAAATTAATAAAAAAGGAATCAAACTATTTGTTAGAGCTGTAATTAAATATTTTGGTTGTCTAATTTTTTATTTTTCATCAAATTACATATCAATGTGGTCCTCTAGTCTGAAGTTCAAACAGAATTTGGTAAATTGGATGCAAATTATCCCAAAAAAAAAGCCCCACTTTAAAGATTTCATCTCATCTCATCACTATACATCCAGAAGCCTTACAAGAATTTTAAAAAATTTAGAAAAACAGGTGAGATCAATAAAATAAAGACAAACCCATATAAAACTACAAAAAATTTAAAAAAATAATAGTAATTAAATAAATTACCTTTCTTTCAACCTTTTATCAACAAAGATTCAAAACCTGCAATTTTACTAATACAAACAACAGTGCCAAAAAAGCTACTTCGGCAGGTCAAACACATAAAACAATTATATACAAAAACACAACATTGAGTTACAATAAAACCGAAGTCATTACTCATTCAGACCCAAAATGCTCTAATCTCACGATTTAATGGCTACTGGAGAAGAAAAATAAATGGTACTTTGTTTTAATTACCAGTGATGGACGAGGATGACAATAACAGGAATCACAAAAACTCCGTGTCTCACAAAGCACCCAACCCAGCGCATTCAAAATAAAACTGCAGTCCATAAATTGAGAAATTAGGGTTTTACGAACCACCTCTATTCTCGAACACAGAGGAAAATATATCACAAAAAACAAGTACAACTACATGACATGTGTTCGTGTTAAAGGTATCGTAAAACAAAACACACGTACCGGGAAATAGCAGAAGAAAGCGGTGGATTTCAGCACTTGAACACCTCACAGATCTTGCTCGACAATATTGGCCGAAGCGGACGATGGATCTTTATACTGGGGAAAGTTGTAATTATTCGTTCTATGGAGGCTATTTTAGTACGTAATGTAAATTTCAGGGTCAAAAAGGACTTTTCACAATATATCTACTGTTAGGATTCAGATAATCTCATGTCCAACACGGGATTAAATAATGCTCCATACCCAAGATTTAATTGTTCTGATCTCGGGCCGTGTCTAATTTTACGGGCTGCAATCCTGGACAGCAAACGATTGACTGGGCCTTGATTAGGGTCTTAATCCTATCTAATCTAGGGTATCAAACATGCCCTTAGGTCATGTAATTTTTATAATTGATTACTATTCACGGCCCTCTTTATTATTAAATACAGTCTAGTGAAAGGCATTTTTATCTTTTTATTTAAAAAATAATAATAATAAAAAGTTCAATTTTTGTAACTTAAAAAACAAAAATTGATGGTCAAGCCAATTGATATTGTTCGAATGTAAACGAGCCTAGGGTTTTTTGGAGGAAGAAGGGATGGAGGTCGGACCGGAGGAAGGAGCGGTCGAAAAAGGCATGCGAGAAGAAAAAGGGATAAAGTCCTTGGGATCACGAGAAGACTGGGGGATAGTGTCTTGAGGATCGTCCTCGACCTCGTCGTCTTGACCAATAGACCGATGAGGACGCTTGACGGGAGGAGAAGGGGGACGAATAGTGACATCCTCCTCAGGCTGGTCGACCAAATAAGAGGAGGGAGAGACAGCAGTGCCCGAAGGACTGGTCGTGATAACCGTGGGTCGTATGATGCTAATGGGTTCGGGTTGGAGAATTTCTTGCACGGACTCGCTCGAAAGGCTGGGGGTCACAGAAGAAGAGGGAGGGGTCAGATCCTTCTCACTGTACCGGTCATTTTCGCTCGATGTGGCAGAAGCTAAAGAAAAAGAAAGAAAATTAAGGAAAATAAAAACCAAAAATTTGTGCAGACAAAGAAGGAGAAAGAAAAAAGGGTCGAGGATGGTACAGTGGGAAGATAAAACCGGAAACACAGAAATCGAGGAGATGCATAAAGTGGAGAAGACAAAATTTAGAAATCCAATAAACATACATTAAATAAGAGTAGAGAAATTGGAGATGAACCGGTGACGGGATGAAGAGACGCGAAGTGCAGAGATGCTCGAGGAGTGTGGAAAAGCTCTGTATTGCGATAGAGTGCCAAAGTGAGTAAAGGTAAAGTTTTTCTAAGTGTAAAAGTACGGTATTTATAGGAATGAAGAATGAACAAGAAGAATTATCAACCGTTGGATTACAGGATTTCAAGAATCGCGATTGAAAGACAAACGAACAGGTACGTGAATATTGGCCGTAGGATTAAAGTGGTAAATCCAACAGTTACCAGAGAAGAGATGTTAAATTTTGTACGAGATTTGAGGGGGCGCGAATTAGGGAGCAATGATGACGCCTGAAATATGAAGAGACGCATCCGAAAAGGCGGATAGATGGCGAGATTTGAAATTCAAAATGCAAAATGGCAGTTACAGCAGGAGGTGGTCGAGGAAAAGTCAAAAACATGTTGGCTGGTCGAAACTAACAAAACGAGACTTGGTGACGCAGATAAGGCTTACTCTTAGATCGAGTCATTCACACTCGACCAGACTGGGGAGGACTAGATGATATGCGATATTGTATACTGGACCGGTTTGCTGGGTCAACCGGATAAAAATGAGTCGATCGGTTGGGTCGAATTGAGTAGTTGTTAAGAAACAAAGGCAAGAAGTCAAAGATGGGTGGATTCAGTAGCATTAGGGAATTACTCGTGGTACCGAGAACTGGTCGAAGAGTCGGATGGTCGAATACGGTGGTCGGAAAGTCGACCACTCGTTATCATATGGACAACTCAGTGATCGTGCCAGATCTGTTTGAAACATCAAGATCTCTGAAGGAATCTCTAGCACGTGAAAGAGGGACACGCGGCACACAACGAGGCAGACGGTTGTACGGACGAACAGGGAGGACAACCAGCTCGACTCGCTTGGGCAGCGCGTGGAGGCA